TAGATGATATCATATTTGGGATACATGGAATGATAGTAAATGAAGATTTTTTTCTAGAATCATTATCGGAAATTTAAATCGGCAAAGCTTTTCATGCTATAACTACCTTGTCACGGATATAGTAAAGATGAGATTAATTTCATCATATTTCAGTTGGAAGGTGATGAAGTAGAGTCGTTTATACCGATGGAATGTCAGTGGTTACTAACAGTATTTTCATTTTAAATTTGTAGGAGCAGTAAATAACTTACAATTATAAGGACTGATTACTATTTATCCTGTAAAACGTGTAAAATAACTCAATGATCAGGACAGTAATGTTTTCGAGATAAAAAAGTCAGAGCAAAATAGTAGTTGTTCGTCTTGTTTAAATCAATCAAGTTTATGATGAAAAATGATTTCAGTATAGATATCAGTAACTTTTGATTTTTTTAGTAATTTTGAAAGTGACTGAAAGAAAAAAGAATCCTGGAATATCTGAATAACTTATAACACCGCCATTCACCTTAGTAATTCCACGAAATGAGTAATCAAATTACTCACTTCGTGGAATTACTTGATCAGTAATTAGTAAGTTAGGTTATATGTATATAGCGCTAAAGCAACGTCACTCAATTTGATTTTCTAGAAAAATTAAAAAAATAATCTGGCTTTAAAAAAAGAGAGATTGAAAAATGTGAAATTTTAGAAAAAGGATCTGATTCGAGAAAACCACATTTTTTGTAGTTATAAGAAAAATGAACCGTTTTAAAATTTGGTTTACTGCAAAACCTAACATTTCATTTAAAATTTATAATTAATTGTCAATTCATGAGATTACATTAAAATGCCAACGTAAGAAGCTTTTTAGCTGGTCCAATGCTGACGGACTATTCCGAGGTATTTTTTTTTCTTCAATTTAAAAATAAATAACTTTACAATTTTTTTCGCTTTTTCATTGTTTTACTAGCTGTAATTGAGAAGCAAATTTTGAATTTATATTAACTGTTTTTTTTTCACTTTTAATTTATCAGAAATACTTATATTAAAATGAAACTATTTTGTGTTATTTTACCTGAAATCCTTTTCGCTTCCTTTACAAGAGCAACATTTTGTGTGATACATAGTTCACTGTTTTCTCCGTTTTCTAGAATAGACGACCCTTTTATCTGAGAGAATCGTTTCCGTGGACAGTTGAATATGCTAACAAACGTAATTACGCTGAAGAGCTTCTTCATATCTGTGATCAATCCGAAATCCAGAGCTGGAAAAAAGTGGGGAACGCGCTGTAAGTTAGAGCATTTCTGAATGGTACGAATAACAGAGATACAATTTACTGATGTTAATGATACAATATGCTGTGGCAGTTTGACACTGTGGCGGATATAGTTGAGCATGAGCTTTGGACAAAGACGGAATCTGTTCCTTCAAAGCTTAAATCTACATATTACTAAAGTTCTCATCACGAATTCAGTTCATTTTAGTATTTGTTAGTCAGCTTGTCAGAAGAGCTTTCAAGCCTTATTCACGCACACCGCGATCATTTGGCTCTCACCTGTATTTCGTAAACCACTAAGTGGCGATATAACTATTGGTGACACAAATTTATTTCCCTTTGTCTAAGAAATCACGAACCTATTGTAAAAGTTAAGAATCATAACATGTAACTGCAGCGATGTATCGGAAGCGAGGAAAATTGCGGAGGGAGTGTATTCCGACGTTTTTATTGGCGAGTATAAGAGGACGACGGCCATACTGAAGGTAAGATTTTTTCATTGACAGTGCAGTGTGGGAAAATAATTCCTTATTCCCTTAACCATCACATTTAGTTGATCCCAATTGGTGCTGAGGGACAGATCGAAAGATTATATGAAAATTCGTTCCGCGAAGCAGCTGCGAAAGTAGTCGTTCTGAAAGAACTTACGGGACTCAGTGAAGTTGGTGAAGGACATTCTACGGAAGGATTTATTCAGCTCAATGGAGCGATGGTTTTAAAAGGTGAGCCTCATAGTTGGAGTATCTCATGAAAGCCTGTTGCAACGAGGACCACAAACGTTATTTCAATTTTTACAGTCTGAAAATCGCAGCTGACCGATAGGTTCCCTCCAATATTTTCATATTTGTTCCAAAATTACTCTTTTTCAGGACATTATCCGTTGTCGATGATTTATGCATGGAGAGTGTATAAACAAAGCATGAGCTCCTACAAATTAAATCCAACTCTCTTTTCTCCCAAGCAAAATTATCTGCTTCTCGCCGTCGAGTATGGTGGAATAACTCTGAGAGAATATGAGGTATTATTGAACTTCTATGATGGTTAAGTGAAAAAGTAATGTATAACGAAATATTGGATATTAGAAAAAATAATGAAAACAATAGGACAGTATGTTTTTTGTTATTTTAAATTGCTGCTTCCAAAGATTCCACGATGTAAGTATCAAATTTGTAGATTGCTAACATACCTCAGGCGTACAGCATCGTTTATCAGTTGTTCGCAGCCATTGCTGTTGCAGAATTTCGACTTTCATATGAACATCGTAGCCTGAACGTCAAAAATGTTTTGATTAATTGCTGTGACCCTAATGATACAATTAGGTTTGTTTCTTAAAAAGCATGCGAACCCGATCAACTAATGCTTTATTTACTATTATTTTTCAACTTCGTTTTCTCTTATAATTTCAAGTGAAAAATCGGACCTTAATATGGTTTTAGAACCACGTTCGCCGGTTCTGAAATCTACATACATACACATGGTGTCAAAGTCAAAATTATAAGTCCTTCTTTCTGCAGAATGACCAAAGGTACATATATGTTTTCTTCCGTTCTCAATAAATGAACTTTCTTTTGGGGGAGTATAATAAATTTTCATTCATGGGAACATGAATTTCGTGAACGTAATTTTTTGTGTACTAAAAACATTACAGATGTGTCTTCGATCTATTTCGATTGGGAATCGAATGAAGAATTTTTCATGGGTGAAAACAATTTAGAAGAGATTGCCTTTCAAACAATGCGCATGATAAATAAGTAATAAATTTTGAATATTGGTGTAGCTTAACATTAGTATATAGCTAGTAAAGATGAAATAATACCATACACATTGTGCATTAAGGAAATTTTGGTTAAGGAATGACTAAGGGCAATATTAAGCACAGAATCATAGTTTATCTTAGATATCAGAAAAGGATGAATTCGGTAGTATGTATACGTTCTTTACATGCTGTAAAACAATTGAAGTAGATCTGATATCAAATGGCGAAAAATGCAAGTGGGAATTTAACGGATGTGAATTCAGCGCTGGAAGTTTGAGTTGTATGAGTTCGACAATCATCGAACAATTTTTAAATGAATGGGTGCTTCATTCAAATTCAAAATTTTAGAAACAGTTGGCGACCATTTTGCCCTACATCAAACGTTCTCTGGCTGTCATACATCATTGATTACATGCATGATCGACTGACGCAATTGCAAGTCGACAGCCCGGAAAATCGTGATGAATTTCTTGGTCATTTTAAATGCTTGCATTTATATGGTAAGAATTCTATCCATTACACAAGTGCAAGTTACTTGTTTGGTAACTTTTTCCAGATTTTAAGCAAATTTATTTCTATTCATTAAATATATAAATTATAGATAGTGCTTGGAAATGGACTGCCGCTCATATTGATAATCATATGAAGAAGGAAATCATTGAGAGGTCAGAGGCTGAACAAGCATAATCAGACGTCTTATATTTTTGAATTACGGTGATAAAATTTGCTAATTTATGTAGTTTATTTTTAACTGGACAGCTGCAAAATAGAATTTGAATACCAAGCATTCCTCCGGAACGATCCAATCAGAGCGTTTTGCGCTGTTTTATAGTTACAAAATCCGCATTAATAGCAAGATACTGTAAAACTTTCGTGAAATTACCGTAATGGAATTTTTCAACAGCTTTTTTCTCATAGTCAATATTCGTTAGTGGATTTTTTAGTACGGTGAATGTTATGTGTTTTGTTGGTTTTACATATTTAACGTTTTTGTCTCAAATCATTATTCGTAGATTTTTTAGAATGATAATTTTATGTATTTCGTTGGTTTTACTTTTTTAACCCTTCATAAATAGTTTTTTTTTCGAAAAGGCCATCAAGTGTGAAACAAATAAATAAGTAGGAAAAGAGTGCTAAATATATGACTTATCCATATGGGAGAATTTAGGTTATTGAAGCAAAGTTCGGTACTATATCAGTCTTCTACGGATACTCAACTTTCTACAAGTTTTTCTGCATTCAATAAAGAGGCACAATCCCTCGACGATCCAAAATTTGCACCATTTACATGAATCGAAGCAAGGAATAATAGCGATAATTCAAATATTTTTTCTTAATCCTATGTTTTGTCCACCACTTCCCTTGGTTGTTTCTTGGGTATACAATATTTCGATTACATGATTTGCGTTTGTTTTTTTATATTTCAACCTTAATATTGCTAAAAAGCAGAACAGAATTAGCTGAACCATCACTGAATTATAAGAATCTGAAACGAAAACGTGAAGTAAACTATTTTTTTTAGTAGCCATGATATCATCCGGATTTTATATGTCCTTAGAAAATTTCTCAATTCTCATCGGTATACAAACTTGCCCTTCATACATATAATGAAAATTCATATATTCATGTACTATTCATGTACGCTTGGACAACAAAAAAGACTTTTGAAAATTTGTGAGAATAACAGAATAAAAAGGAAGGAAAGCCTATCGTAGTAGGAGAGAATCTAAATTGTAAGTAGAATTGGAAGTTATAACATTACTGACTTTTGTTTGATCTTAAATTTGAATAGCTGAGAAATGCTTGTACGTAAAAAGCTAATCTAATCATATATTAGTAAAAATCTTTTATGAAATAAATTTGAAGCTAAAAAAGAAATTAAAAATCGTAAATTGTAATTTAACAATTTCCTCACGGTAGGTACATTTTCTAATTTCTGAGCAATTTATTATCCCCTACGCTCTCCGACAAGAAAAGGAGTATATGACTGAACCAATGCGTGGCACATTCAGGCTTCCATATTGATCGATAGGGAAGAAAAAGGCTACACCGTGGGATGGACCATACAGTGACTAATGAAAAGAGGGCCACACAATGGGTGGGAGAGAGAAGCTAATGGTTCTTTCTTTTGGAGGTTGGTGGTGTGGGTGGACGCGGTGCGTGCTGACTTGCATGTTCAGTTTTACGTGTGGATATCCTCCACCAAAGGAAGTGTTCTTTATTTGAGAATTACGTTACAGTGTAATAAATTGCAATGCAAAGTTTACATTTTTCAGTGCGAGGTGTAATAATAAGTAAGGACATGGCATATAACACGTAATGAAATAATTATTTGTTAAGAATACTCCGAGATATAGAGAATAGCATCAGAGGAGAAGTTAATGACTTTCACTACTGAATTCAAATGGATTTGTTCGAAAGGAAATTTCATCAGTGTTTGCTACAGCGATTAAAAAGCCGAACTTGAATGAAATTCGAAAAAATAAAAATTGAAACAACACGGAATGAAAATCCGTGTTGTTTTAATTTTTAAGAAATGGTAGTTACAAGGGAAAAAATCAAAGTCCATCATATTCGGATCATTTGAACTTGTTATTCATGTTGATTTTTGATTTTTTCTCTTGCTTAAGATTTTAGTTGAAAGCTGAACTCCTTACTTTTTTTTGGGTTGCAAAATGTTAGCCTGTTTCTTAAACATAATGTAATAATAAAAAAAATGGCACATTATAAGAGCGGGGTGATAACCAAATTTGATATAGCATATGACCAAGATTTTAGATGACCAAAATCGAATTTGGCATTTGATCATTCAACGTATTGTAAGTTAAATAAAAATTGTGTGATAGATTTCACTAAAAAAGTAAGCATTTTCCATTAAACGCAGTATGAGATAAAAGCGTATGGGGTAGCGTAATTGCGGATGGAATAACGGATTTCTCGTAGAAAATTGTGTTTATAATTATGATTAGAGCTGTTAGCCAATATCATTTCAATTTACAAAAAGGGATGGTGCGTAATTGTCATTCAATTTTTCCATCCTTAATGAATATTTAAGTTAAATTCTAATGTCCACATTTCTTTAGAAAGTTAGGTAATATTTAAAAAATCAACTTGCTGCAAAGGAAAATACAATTTGATAGATTAGAGTTGTTTAATAGTAACAATTATCGTTGCATGTACTTTGTGAATACTTAACTTTTCATATTTTCATAAAATCTACATTTCAGAATGATTATAAATGATGAAAAAGGTCCAAGCCTTCGGACATCGATATAATGAATTATTATTTGCAAGAGAAGGTTGTAATGTTTTTATGCTATTAGTAGGTGACACAAGTGGCTATTCATTTTTTACATTGCATTTTCTATTTTTATAATTTTTTTTATACAAAGCTGATTATTGAACTTTTGTAAGCAAGAATCAATGGAAGAGAAAAAGTGTTTTAATGTGAGTGAGAATGTTAGAGTGAACTTTAACACAGATCCCTATTTTTTAGGCAATATTCATTTAATGCTGTTCCTTGAAAGAGAATAATACAGTAATCACTGTTGTTTTACAGATGGAGGAATTCATTTGCGCTCGCTTGAGGGAAGCGTAGGAGCGAAAAAAAAAATGATAGTGGTGAAAGAATCGAAGGAGTGAATGGGCAAATGGAAGAGGAGGCAGAATTGAGGACGATGAAGTGGAGAAGACCTCTCCCTCTGAAACTAATGATGAGGGAGGTGGAAGGTCAGTGAGAGACTCTCCTGACCCTGATAGCAATGAAGAGAAGTGACCAACTGGCGTGAAGTGATGCCCTCTGCTGGACGATAATGACGAGGAAACTACTGAGGAAAACTCAGTAAGTTCAGGACTACTTCAATTTTCACACTTCTGACTACCGCAATGAAGAGTAAGGGTTGCGGGTTTCTATTGGGGAAATAAGTGAGATTGTAATTACTTCATTGTTTTCATTGGATTAAGGGTTATGGCTAGTTCAGAGCTTGGTTAGATTGAGGGTTATGGATAATTCGATACTTGGTTGGGCTGACTTTTTCTTCAATTTTTTAAAATTTTTCCTAATTTTTTTCTTTGCTATTTTTTTAATTCTTGTTAATTCTTTTTCTTCGGCTATTTTTTCATTTTTGCGAATTCTTTTCTCCGCTAATTTTTTTATTTTTGCTAATTTTTTTCTTCGCTTATTTTTCAATTTTTGCAAATTTTTTTCCTCAAGTTGTTTTTCCATTTCCTTCTTCATCTCTTCGGTGAAATGCTCATTTAGTGCGAAGGTCCCATTGCTTTAACTGAGCCTCGAGGTAGCAAAATAGCCGTCAGTCTAACTAAAGTCAAGTTCAACACTAGTCCAACGGTCCAACTTAGTCAACGGACCTATCCATAACCTGAATCGAACCAAGCTCCGAACTAGTTAAATTCATTTTAATTGTTATTTTGTTAATGTTATGTTGTAATTTTGTTGAAATTCATATTGTTATATCCAATTTTAGGTCAATGTTACCAATGATTTCTAAATGTTTGATGTTACAATTTAATAAAGTCATTTTTCTAATCCATCTGCGAGCACACAACAAATTTATAATTATCTTTGTAGGTTCTTATTTAAGGGAAAGTTGCAATTCAGATCTTCTCTACAGCAGCATCCAAATCCGCCTGAGTGCAATTTCTTTTACTCAACGGTGGATGGATGGCTTTTGTTTGCTCATTGATTAACACGCGCAATTATCCCGAGAGTTATGAGTGGATAATACAGCCCATTGTGTAGCTGTTTGAAGAGCACGACGTGAGCTCAGATCCAACGGTTGATCTTCAACCGTTTCATTACTATTATTACCATCCTTGTAGACTGCTGTCGCTCGCTCTACCAATGATTCGTTGCGAAACGACGATTTTGATAATCCTGCAACAAATACAATGCTATCATTTCTGTACCCCTAAATTACAATTAATTTATATTTCAGTTAAGTTAACTAAACTTATGTTTAAGTAATGAACTGATTTG